GTTGTCTGATAGCCAACCAGGCTGTGAACCCACAGGGGCAGGGACCACGGCTGTGGGTGACCCAGCAGGCAGCATGGCACTGGGCATTCCGCAGCCCTTGCTAAAGAAGTGAGCCCCTGAAGAGTCAGTTTCCTTCTGTCCCATCTTTAGCAAACTCACCTTCCAAACTCCTTTTAAATCGGACCAGCAGTCTGAAATAGTCCTTCCCATCACCTGTCCTCGAGGGTTTCTAATATCGAGAAAATTGGCCAGGTGTCATGGCTCACGCCTGTAATCCCAGCATTTTGGGAAGCTGAGGTAGGAGGATCGCTTGAGTCTAGGAGTTTGAGACCAGTCTGGGCAACATAGTGAGACCCTCATCTCTAGTAAAAACACAGAACTTAGGCACTTCAGGAATGAGGCATGCACCTGTAGTCCCAGCTACTCAGGTTGCTTGGCTGAGCATGGGAGGATCGCTTGAACCTGGGAGTCAAGGCTGCAGTGAGCTGAGATTGCTCCACTGTGCTCCAGCCAGGTTGACAGAATGAGACCCTATCTCAAAAAAAAAAAAAAAAAAAAAAAAAAAAGAAGAAAAAAAAGAAAATCGCAGGACTTCAGAAGCTATTAGAAATGAGCAGGGGTTAGGCTGGGCACGGTGGCTCACATCTGTAATCCCAACACTTTGGGAGGCTGTGGCAGGCAGATCATTTGAGGTCAGGAGTTCAAGACCAGCCTGACCAACATGGTAAAACGCCCTCTCTTCTAAAAAATACAAAAAATTAGCCAAAGGTGGTGGCGCACGCCTGTAGTCCCAGCCACTCGGGAAGCTTAGACTTACTTGAACCTGGGAGGCGGAGGTTGCAGTGAGCCGAGATTGCACTACTGCGCTCCAGCCTGGGCAACAGAAAGAGACTCTGTCTCAAAAAAAAGAAAAAAAAAAAAAAACCAGGGGTTTAGAATAGGATAAAAGGAAAAACAATTAAAAAAAAAAAAAAAAAAAAAAGGGAAGAAATAGTGCACATGCCTGTGATCCCAGCACTTTTGGAGTCTGAGGCAACAGGATCACTTGAGGCCAGGAGTTCGAGACCAGCCTGGGCAACAGTGAGACCAGCCTCTATTGAAAAAAATAAAAAGGAAGAAAGAAAATATTCCTTTCTAATTCCACAAACACCCTATGCCCCTAAAGTGTTTCTTCACAGGTAGCTAAGACTTAGTAAACCCCCCGATTCTCTGGAAGGCCAGGCGGGGCGCTCACTCTGCTCCAGAGTGTTGCCTGGTTTCTGCCTCTGGATCCTGTCACCCACCTCAACTCTCCAGTTGCCTGTTTCTTACGAGACTGCCAGTCGAGTGGTCCAAATCTTCGACTTCCAGCTTCAGAAATTCCAACTTGGGCATGATCAGTAAAGCTTCCCTGGCAGCAGCTGGAGGGAGAGCCCAGGCTGCCACTTGTCAGAGGCGTAAATGCCATCCTGAAGCCAATTCCTGGCCCTGGGCTCTGCCAACCCTTGTGAACACTGCTTCCCGAAAGACTAAGTCTTGTGGCCTCAGCACAGCAGGACCCCTGCCTTCCCCACAGGGAGGTCATGTTCAGCCACACCCCAGCTGCCTACCTCTGGCGACCCACCCCAGTGCCCTGCACCGCCCTGCCTCGCTCCTCCCTCCTGATCTCTGCACACGAGGCTCCTTTGACAGAAGTGTCCCTCCACTCTTGCCATTCAGGATTCAGAGGCCAGGGTCTGTCCCCAGCTGCCGCACAGTAACGGGCACACACAGAAAGATAGAAATGTCTGCTGACAGCCACCAGCTTCCCAGCGGGCTCAGAGAAGTCAGGGGAGGAGGAGCAGGGTGACAGCACGTACAGGCCCACGCCTGGGATCCAGGCAGTGGCTGGGAATGACATTCCTTTGCGTTTTCACCCAACAAGTTTTCCTTCCCTGTGAAGAACATGAAACTGAACTCATGCTGTGCCACTGTGGGGTCTCGCCATTGTTAAGGAGGATGGGGAAGTATTCTGGGATACACATTTGCTTTTAATAAAAAAGAAATGTTCTCCTAAAATTGATCCTGCACACAGGGAGCCATGAGCCAGGCCTGCTGGCTCATTCCTCCAATTCTCAAACACAAGCAACGACTCAGGTCCCAGTGAGATCCATTCACAACTCCCTTGGGACATGCTCCATGCTCCACCTCTACCCCCATGCACAGATAATCTTAGTAACCAGAGTAAAAGTCTGCCTGAGACACAAATATTTTTCCTGGCTCCAAGGGCTAGTGCCAGACAAAGTTCCTCCCTCCACCGGGGAGGGAGGCAAGACTTGAGTCCCTGAGAGGGTGTCTGGGTCCTCAGGTGTCCTGCTGAGCAGTGAGGGGCAGCTGCCTCCAGGTCACCACACCTGGCACACCCGGATCACCTCCCTCAGCGCCTTCACCCCCTCCATGCTTTTGTCTTTCATGGCAACAGCGAGGAGGACTGCTTTGTTTCCAGCTTCTTGAGACACAAACGCTACCAGGTTCTTTGCAAAGACGTGGATGAGAGGCTGTGAAAGGAGGGAGAAGAAAACATTTTAACTGCAAGAAGCCTGGTCTTTTCCTCAATGCTTTCATAAAGTATCCCTCAGGAACCCAGATAGGCCTCCCATACCACCATTAACCACCACCATGTTAAGTCCATGCCACAGTGACTCAGAGTACAGGCAGCACTCAGAACACTCCAGTCAGGAACACACTGCTAAGGACGCGTTATTCTGTTCATTCTCTCAGCGCCTTTGCAGCCCTGTCTCTTCTGGCTGACTCTCATCTAAAAGAACCCAGGAAAGACAAGCCTGTGGAGGCAAGTGCTGACGAATCTCACATGTGATCTTTGCAGAGCAGAGCAGGGCAGGGCACAGCCAGCCACCTGCTCACATAATGAATCATGGCAGGGGAGGCGGCCTGAATGACAAAATTGGTACCTCTGCTTGTCTGCTGGATAAAATGCCTGCAGACTGGACAAAGCATCCACCAAGGGCAAGCAGGGTGCCTTGAGACCCATGAGTGCCCGGAAAATGCTGTTGCTGTACGGGGATTTGTCTGTCAGATGCCCCATATCCTTAACAACAAATCACAGCCAATGAAGGGCTGTTTCCTCCTCCCTGGGGGTCCCTTCCTGACAACTTTATTACTATTATTTTGAGATGGAGTTTCGCTCGTTACCTAGGCTGGAGTGCAATGGCGCGATCTCGGCTCACAGCAACCTCTGCCTCCTGGGTTCAAGTAATTCTCCTGCCTCAGCCTCCTGAGTAGCTGGGACTACAGGTGCACGCCACCATCTCTTGACCTCATGATCCACCTGCCTCGGCCTCCCAAAGTGCTGGGATTATAGGCGTGAGCTACTGCACCCGACCTATTATTAGTATTTTCAGAGGCAGACTCTTGCTCTGTCATCCAGGCTGGAGTGCAGTGGCACAATCATGGCTCACTACAGCCTCAACCTCCAGGGCTCAAGTGATCCTCCCACCTCAGCCTCCCAAGCAGCTGGGACCAAAGGCACTCACCACCATGCCCAACTAATTTTTTTCTTTTCTTTTTCTTTTTCTTTTTTTTTTGAGACAGAGTCTCCATCTGTTTCCCAGGCTGGGATGCAGTGGCATGATCTTGACTCACTGCAACCTCTGCCTCTTGGGTTCAAGCGATTCTTGTGCCTTAGCCTCTGAAGTAGCTGAGATTACAGGCATGTGCCACCACACCCAGCTAATTTTTAGTAGAAATGAGATTTCATCATGTTGGCCAGGCTGGTTTAGAACTCCTGATCTCCAGTGATCTGCCCACCTCAGACTCCCAAAGTGCTCTGATTACAGGTGTGAGCCACTGCGCCCAGCCTCTCTCTCTCATTTTTTGTAGGCACTTGTTTTTTTGTAGAGACTTCTGTGTGCATTGTTGTGTTGCCCAGGCTGGTCTCAAACTCCTGGCCTCAAGCGATCTGCCCACCAAGGCCTCTGAAAGTGCTAGGGTTACAGGTGTGAGCCACGGTTCCCGGCCAATCCACTTTACCTCATCCTGCCCCAGAAGGACTTTTGTGGTGAGCACAGGTTTGCTGATGTCGTTGGCCACGCTGCTGGGCTCCAGGGAGACCAGTGTACCCATCTTCCCAAACTGGGTCACCACCACCAGGATGTGACTGCTGAAGGCCGTGCACACCACCTGGGTGGGGACTCCACACACCATCTCCGTCTTCTGTTTTGATATCACCAACGGCGTATCTTCCATTGCGGGGCTCTTCAATGGCAGCTTTGATTTAGGTTAAAAAGGAGAAAAAAAAGAGTTAATCAAACGGATTATGTACAGATATGGAGCACTGGGCATTGAAACAGAAATGGAAGAAGGTCCATTCAAAAGGAGAGGCAAGGCGCGGTGGCTCATGCCTGTCATCCCAGCACTTTCGGAGGCCGGGGCAGGAGGACAGCTTGAGGCCAGGAGTTCAAGACCAGCCTGGCCAACATAGTGAGACCTCCATCTCTACCAAAAAAAAATTACAAAAAAATTTAAAAATCAGCCCCGCGCGCCTGTGGTCCCAGTTAATCAGGAGGCTGAGGCGGAATGATCACTTCAGCCTGGGAGGTCGAGGCTGCAGTGAGCCGTGATCACACCACAGCACTCCAACCTGGGCGACAGAGCGAGAATCTGTCACTAAAAAATAAAACCCAGGCTGGAGCGGGACCGCCCGTATAGACCGTGCCAGGGGCTTCCTGGGTTAGCGGATCGACTTGCACGTTCACACTGCCAGGCCGGGCAGTGGCTTCCTGCCCCTAGGCCCCGCCACCGCCGCCCTGGCCCTACAACCGCGGGCCGGGGACCCCCATGACACGCGGGGCCAAGACCAGCAGCGCTACTGCAGGACGCAACCGCCCGGGTAGACTCGGCAGTACCTGCTCCCACCAAGCAGGCGTCGCGCTCGGAAACGGCTCTGCGTGAGCGACACGGGCCCGCCCCCATTCGCAGGTTCCGTCCACCTTCCGGAAGTCAGGGCCGCGGCGCTTCCGGTCCCCGGGACGTGGGGCTCCCGGGCTCCTGAGCTGCTCGGGTTCCGCGCTGCCGGGAGTGCTTGGGGGCGCCTTAGCGCGGGACTCCGTTCTTTTCAGGAAAGGGTGTTGCGACCATCTTTGTCCCCGGGCCTTCAGCTGCAGACCTTCGGGGCCCTCGCTGGTGAGAGCTCTGTCCGCCGTGTCTGTGTCCAGGACCCCCCCGAAGCGTAGCGCAAGGGAACCCCCTGCGCTGGCAGCCCGGCCCTTTTCGACCTTCGGCTTTGGGCTGGAGGCATTGTAGTCACCACAGCGAACGCTTATTTGGCACCGAGTGTGTACCAGACATCGTTTTAAGCGCTTTATACCCATAACTCGTTTGATTTCAGCCACCCGGTTCAGTAGAAGCGTTTCATCCACGTTTTACAGACGCGTGCAGGTGCGGAGAGCTTGGCCACGCCTGGGCAGCTGGCAGCCTGTGGTGGGCTTCGAACACCGATCCTCAGTCACTGCTCCGTGACACGAAGCCCCAGCAAAGGCCAAGAGGGGGACCAGCCCCACCCTGAAGCAGGATGGGTTCTGGTTCCTCCAGGGACCCCCATACCCCCTACTGCTCAGCCTCAGTTTCTCCAAGCTGGAAGTTTTATTGGCAGCGTCGGGCATCTTTCACAGGGGCTGAGAGTGACTGGAGCCTCCAGAGCCTTCCTCACGGGGTCAAACCCCTTCAGAACCCCACCCTCAGAGGCCTGTCTGTCGCTTCCTGACAGCCATGTCAAGGCTGTATTTTCTGTTATATTACCGGAAAGGGGTTCCGATCCAGACCCTATGAGGGGGTTCTTGGATCTCATGCGAGAAAGAATTCAGGACGAGTCCATAAAGTGAAAGCAAGTTTATTAGAAAAGTAAAGGAATTGAGGTAGAATAATAGGGTCTGGAGACAGGGTACATAAGGCCAATGAACACTTCAGCTGTGACAGGAAATATCGTCTCCAGTCCGGGCACAGTGGCTCACGTCTGTAATCCCAGGACTTTGGGAGGCCGAGGCGGGTGGATCATGAGGTCAGGAGTTCAAGACCAGCCTGACCAATATGGTGAAACCCCACCTTTACTAAAAATAAAAAAATTAACTGGCCGTGGTGGCGTGCACCTGTAATCCCAGCTACTCAGGAGACTGAGGCAGAATTACTTGAACTGGGGAGGTGGAGGTTGCAGTGAGCTGAGATTGCACCACTGCACTCCAGCCTGGGTGACAGAGTGAGACTCTGTCTAAAAAAAAAAAAAAAAAAAAATCCTCTCCATAGGGTGTACACTGAGTAAATGATTCTGTAACTTTGTTTCATCCTCTTCATTTAGTAGCTGGGATTACAGACATGCACCACCACACCTGGCTAATTTTGTATTATTAGTAGAGATGGGGTTTCTCCATGTTGGTCAGGCTGGTCTCGAACTTGCGACCTCAGGGGATCTGCCCGCCTCGGCCTCCCAGAGTGCTGGGGTTACAGGCATGAGCCACCTCGTCCAGGCTGCTTTGTGTGTTTTGTCCATTTCTTTGTTCAAGACGTCAAGAACCTGGACACCCTCCACCAGTAATAGAATAAAGAATGACTGCTCCATAGACAAAGCAGCCGCAAGGGCTGCGGGTGCCCATTTTTGTGGCTATTTCTTGATTATATGCCAAACAAGGGGTGGATTATTTCTGCCTCCCCTTTTTAAACCCTTTAGGATAACTTCCTGATGTTGCCATGGCATTTGTAAACTGGCATGGTGCTGGTGGGAGTGTAGCAGTGAGAATGACCAGAGGTCACTGTCATCACCATCTTGGTTTTGGGCAGCTTCTTTACTGCAAACTGTTTTATCAGCAGACTGCTTATGACCTGTATCTTTTGCTGACCTCCTATCTCATGCTGTGACTTAGAATGCCTTAACCGTCTAGGAATGCAGCCCAGTAGGTCTCAGCCTCATTTAACCCAGCCCCTGTTCAAGCTGGAGCCGCTGTGGTTCACACACCTCTGACATCTACGCCACTACAGCCCTTAGGAAGAGCTTGACTCCCTCTTCTCATGACTTGATGACTTCATATCCAATCCAGGTCAAGTCAAATGAAGCATGCTCCTCCAGTGATGATTTCTGGAGGCCTGAAATAAAAGGCATGCATACAGAACATGTTCAAAATAGACATAAATCAAGAGGAAATTCATTTTTGAGCATTCTTGCAGCCAGTACACAAAAGGAAGGGTGATGAGTTTCGTGGTTCTACTACTCAAAAAGCCGGAAGCATCTCAATTTCCCAGGAAAGTCTTAAGTTGCTGCCAGTTCTAAATTTAAACGCATATCCACCCACACATACCCCACAAGCAAATTGCCAATGTATTGCTTTGCCATCTAAAATCTTCAAGAGGTTCACTCATTTTTATTCACCTGTGTGTGCATTCTCCCTCTCTGTAGGCAAATAGACACAAGAAATCTGATCCAATCCCCTAAAAAAAAAAAAAAAAACCCTCTGAAATAAACTTATCACCTTTATAAAGGGATGTTGAAGAACAAGATGGATGCTGGGTTTTTGCTGTTGTCGTTTTTTGAGGCACAGTCTTGCTCTGTCACCAGGCTGGAGTGCATTGGTGCCATCCTGGCTAACTACAACCTCCACCTCCCGGGTTCAAGGGATTCTCCTGCCTCAGCCTTCCGAGTAGCTGAGATTACAGGTACCTGCCACCACACCCGGCTAATTTTTGTATTTTTAGTAGAGACGGGGTTTCACCATATTGACCAGGCTGGTCTCAAACTCCTGACCTCAGGTGATCTGCCCGCCTCAGCCTCCCAAAGTGCTGGATTATAGGTGTGAGCCACCGCGCCCAGCCTGGATGTTGTTTTTGATGTCACTGTTAATTACATATGTGAGGGATTGTTTGGTCAATTTGGGTCTAGATCTAAGATAAAGATAGTAGGAAAAAAATGAGAGGAGGAGGTTGTCCTAGGCTAAGGTGATGGTCCAGGGACTTTCTGGCAGCCTAAATGGACAGAAGTTATATACCTAGAAGAATGGAGGAGGATCTCATTGCACATCATTGACTGTTCTCCAGTACCGAAGGGTAAATGAACTGGAAAGAAAGACTCTCTGAAGTGCATTCACGTAAAATGGGAATCTAATAGTAATGATGCCAATCATGGCGCAAAGAGTTTGAGAAGTTATCTTAAAAAAAAAAAAAAGGAAAGTATCTTAAATTTGTCTTATATTCACTAAATTGTAGGTGAAAATGCCATGGTGTGTTAATCTGTGAAACCGACAAAGAATTAGTCAAGTGCCAATTTGATAGGGTTGTAATTTTTCTGACAAACTGTATGATGGTTCCACACGTTATCCTTCCCACTGTGTGTGATTCTCCCAGCTCCAGGATGAAGAGGATTGTTTTACAAAAACGTGTAAGGGCGCCGTCAGTTTCCCCAGAAGGCTCTCTTCATCATTTGATATTCACGCCATATCTTGCTGAAGGGGCATCCAGTGGTTAGCCATGGTGGTGGCCCTACTCTCAGTTGCCTGCCTGTGTGGCTTTGCCAGAGCCTCCCATGCTGACCCATGGCATTGGTCTCCGTCTGAGCATCCCTGGCGTCCCATTCGTGGGCTTCCTGAAACCTTACACCTCTTGAAACATAGACAGTTTGGCTTTGCAACTGACATGCTTTGTATGTGCACAGCCTCACAGCACACTCTCCAGTCCGCTCAGCAGGAAAGATCCCAGAGCTCTGCCGGGAGGGGTGTGTGAGTGGAGACCAGTGACGTAACAGGTTCTGTGTTCACGATGATTTCTGTTTTCCTCTGCAGCCCTGTAAGGACAGGGACTCAGATAGTCTGGCCTTTAGACCCAGAGGACTTCCAGGTACAACAAATCTTAGATTGGGTAAAGCTTTAGGCATCAGAATCAACCTCCTCGGCTATTAATTTTGAGTAACTCTGTAATTTTGGGCAACTTGTCTCAGTTTCTCAGCTTAGAAATGAAGATGGAAAAGGAGGGTGCCTGTCTTGTGGGATTGAGAGAGGCAGCCCCCCCAAAATATAAATAAATAAGAGGCCGGGTGTGGTGGCTCACGCCTGTAATCCAAGCACTTTGGAGGCCAAGGCGGACGGATCACCTGAGGTCGGGAGTTCAAGACCAGCCTGACCAACATGGGGAAACCCCGTCTTAAAAAAAATAAATAAATAAATAGAGAGGCAGCCCACACGCGGCAGTTCACTGGAACATCATACGTTCATTACTTTATTATTTATTTGGGAGACAGGGTCTCACTCTGTTACCCAGGCTGGAGTGTGGCGGCATGATCATGGCTCCCTGCAGTCTCAGCCTCCCGGGCTCAAGCAATCCCCTCCGTCTCAGCCTCCTGAGTAGCTGAGACTACAGGTACGCACCACCACGCCCAGCTAATTTTTGTGTTTTTAGTAGATATGAAGTTTTGGCATATTACCAAGGCTTGGAATATCATAAATTTAGCTGTTAGGTTTATGATTACCCAGCTGTTCTCCCTGTCCTTGGATAAATAGACCTTGCTCCTCTACACCTGATGAGGAGCAGCTTGAGTGCAAATGGACCATATGGCCGGGATGTCCTGGGCCTGGCAGGGCTCTCTACAAGCTGCTGGAGTGGTGACCATTAGGCCCTGCACAGGGCCCCCAGGGGCTGCCTGAATGGCTGCTTTTTTTTTTTTTTTTTTT